AACAAGAAAGCTGGTGCCATGAATGCTTTGGTTAGTAATTCGTACTAGTATTAATTTCTGGCTGGCCTTCCTTGACATTCTTTTAAGTCTTCTTCGGCATGTTATATGTAATTGATTCTGTTTTTTCTAAATAGGTTCGAGTCTCTGCAGTGCTGACGAATGCACCATTTATGTTGAACTTGGATTGTGATCACTACCTTAACAACAGCAAGGCAGTTAGAGAAGCCATGTGCTTTTTAATGGACCCACAAATTGGAAAGAAGCTCTGTTATGTCCAATTTCCCCAGAGATTTGATGGTATTGATCGCCATGATCGATATGCCAACCGTAATGTTGTCTTCTTTGATGTAAGTTTAAACGCAGCAATGTGGTTAGCAAAGGGTTTATTCTCAGTATTTAATGAGTTCTTTTTCTTCATGGCGACAGATCAACATGAAAGGCCTGGATGGCATTCAAGGGCCAGTATATGTTGGAACAGGTTGTGTTTTCAACAGGCCGGCATTATACGGCTATGATCCACCTGTTTCAGAGAAGCGGCCAAAGATGACATGTGATTGCTGGCCTAGTTGGTGCTGCTGCTGTTGTGGTGGTTCAAGAAAGCCCAAGTCCAGGTCCAAGAAGAAGAGCATCAAGTCCTTACTTGGGCTATATAGCAAGAAAAAGAGAACAATGAATGGAAAGAACTACACTAGGAAGCCATCTGGACCTGTCTTTGATCTTGAGGAAATTGAAGAAGGACTTGAAGGATATGATGAGCTTGAGAAATCATCTCTTATGTCCCAAAAGAACTTTGAGAAACGATTTGGGCAGTCCCCAGTTTTCATAGCTTCCACACTCATGGAAGATGGTGGGCTTCCTGAAGGGACAAATCCAACAACACTCATAAAAGAAGCCATTCATGTTATTAGCTGTGGGTATGAAGAGAAAACTGAGTGGGGCAAAGAGGTTAGAATCATAATGAGTTATCAATGGTCGCTTCGCTAGCTTCTACTAATTGGTTTGATGGTCGCTTCACTAGCTTCTACTAATTGCTTTTCTTTCTTATTTTCTTGACAGATTGGGTGGATTTATGGTTCTGTCACAGAGGACATTTTGACTGGATTCAAGATGCACTGCAGAGGATGGAGATCAGTTTATTGCTGTCCAAAAAGAGCAGCTTTTAAGGGATCAGCTCCCATCAATCTATCAGATAGATTGCACCAAGTCCTGAGATGGGCTCTTGGTTCTGTCGAAATCTTCATGAGTCGTCATTGTCCCCTTTGGTATGCCTGGGGTGGTAAACTCAAATTGTTGGAAAGGCTAGCTTACATTAACACCATTGTTTACCCTTTCACTTCCATTGCTCTTCTAGCTTACTGCACCCTTCCAGCTGTATGCCTTCTCACTGGAAAATTTATCGTCCCAACAGTAAGCGAACTTTTAAGTCATCTGGTTCAACAATATGTTGAAGATTGATTTTAATTTTCTAAGTCAAAGATCATGTTTCTTTTTGCAGCTTAATAACTTTGCAAGCATTTGGTTCATGGCTCTCTTCCTCTCCATCATAGTCACAAGCGTACTCGAGCTGCGATGGAGTGGAGTAAGCATTGAGGCCTGGTGGCGTAACGAGCAATTTTGGGTCATTGGAGGTGTTTCAGCACATTTGTTTGCAGTTTTCCAAGGCCTTCTTAAAGTTCTTGCTGGTGTAGACACAAATTTCACCGTAACAGCAAAAGCAGCTGAGGACACTGAGTTTGGGGAGCTTTACCTCTTCAAATGGACCACACTCCTCATCCCACCAACCACTCTGATCATCTTGAATATGGTTGGTGTTGTGGCTGGTGTTTCAGATGCCATCAACAATGGTTATGGTTCATGGGGTCCTCTCTTCGGAAAGTTATTCTTCGCCTTTTGGGTTATTGTCCATCTCTATCCTTTCCTAAAGGGATTGATGGGCAGGCAGAATAGGACTCCCACCATTGTGGTCCTATGGTCAATTCTTCTTGCTTCAATCTTCTCACTGGTTTGGGTCAGAATAGACCCTTTCCTACCAAAACAGAAGGGCCCTATACTCAAGCAGTGTGGAGTGGAATGCTAAATACCATGCCTGGTATATGTGTGATGTATTCTTTGCCAATTTTTGTTAGGTAGCTATTTTGATTGCAAGCGACACATTGTATCTTTCTGCTAGTGATTTGCCTAGCAATAAAGTGAAGACTAGGAAAAGGAGAAGGGCACTCTGTAGCATCCAAACTTGTCCATGTATATCAGATTTTTAAGATGCTAAGCATCTTCTCCTATAATCTTTAATGACTTACACCTCAATTTTCATCTCTGTGAGGCTGTATTCAAGCTCATATTTCATACACCTAGTCATTTCCTTTGGAGAAATTGTTATAAAATCACATGGAAATCTAGTGTACTACCAACCTCAGCAGGATTTTGTGGTTTCTTTTGTTTTATTATTTGTTCCTGCTGGAAGTTAAGATATCACTTAGAGAACTTCTAATATTATTATTACTATTATTTTTATGTAGATTTAACTTTTCCCCCCCTTTTTGTCTTATTGGGTATGATGATGATATGATCGAGCCTAAATGAAGAAGTGAGGATTCATATAGTCGACTCCAACTAGCTAATGATTGAGGCATAGTTGTTGTTGGAAGTAAAGATATCAATATAATTAGGATTATAAGACTTTGAGATCTGAGTATCATGCTCAACAGGATGATATTATTTCTTTCTCTCTAGAGAAAAGTGCACCCACAACGTAATAATTCGGCCAGCCCCAATGTTTCATCATTGAAACTATATAGACACTAACACTAGAACTCTGCTGCAGCCTGTACATTTTTCACACCTATACCTCAGGCTTGTCATCTCATACTTTCTGCTATTTCTGGAAACTTGTTAGTTTGCTCACTTCTATTGACCCCAATGGCTGTGGAAGGTAAGGCAAAGTCTGAGCAGATAATTCTTGTGCTACAGAACGCATGGTTGGTCGTGACTCAGGAGTGGTACGTGTGCATGCAAAGGCAATCGTGATAACAAAAACCACTGCTTCTGCCAAGTGGCCAGTGGGCGGTTGAAGTCTTTGGTCAAGAACATCCTTCAAAAGAATTTCCGATGATAAAGTTGTTGCTGCTGATAATGAGGTTAAAAGCTCCCCTGGATGCCTTCCCATCATAATCTCCATAGCCACAACTCCAAAACTATAAACATCACATTTTTCTGTAACGCGCATGGTAAATGCAAGCTCTGCACAACAAGAAACACAAGATGTTAGTGAAACATTCTTCTTTGCTAAAACAAGAATATCAACTATCACAAGCCTGTTTAGCAGAAAATTAGCTGCATCAGGGACACTAAAATCAGAATACCTAATAAGGAATTGCAAGGGTTTAAAAGTGAGTGTCTGCCTGCATTCTTCCAATGAACATACTGAAAAAACCAACAGATATATATATGGATGCATTAGCTAATGAGTAAAATACCTGGTGCCATGTAGCCATAAGAACCAGCAACTGAGGTCCAATTTGATGATTCTGAAGCTAGCAGCTTTGCTGTGCCAAAGTCAGAGAGTCGTGGCTCGAACTCTGACTCAAGCAAGATGTTATTCAGCGATACATCACGGTGCACGATGGGTGGGGAGCAGTCATGGTGCAAGTAAGCAAGTGCATGTGCTATTCCTTGCACAATTTTCACTCTTGTGCCCCACCCCAGTTCCGTTACCATCTCACTGTCATACAGAACTTTCCCGAGGCTACCTTTTTCTATATACTCATAAACCAAGTACATGCACCCATTCTTGGAACAGTAACCAAAGAGCTTGATTATATTCCTGTGTCTCACCTCTGTCAAAGTTCTAATCTCATTCTCAAAGCTTCGACGACTTGTTAAAGGAATGTCACTTGAGTCTGACATGTTGAGTCTTTTGACTGCAACAACCTGCCCAGATGGCAAAATTGCTCTATAAACACTTCCAAAGCCTCCTCTTCCAATGCAGTTTTTCTCATTGAAATCTTCAGTAGCTTTCACAATGTCACCAAATGTAAACTTCCCTTCTCTTTCCCAAATGAGAGACTCTGAATTCTCATACATCTGGCTGGCTTTGATCTCCTCATCGTATTGCTTAGCCTTCCTTCGAGATACAAGGCATGCAACAAAAATGATTGCCAAAAGTATGAGGCAGGCCACCGGTACAAGTACCCCAATAAGAACCTTTTGATTCTTGTTTCTGGACTTCTCATCCGGGGTAGCCAAATTACACGAGGATAATCCTTCTACATTTCCACACAAACCAGAGTTTCCAAGAAAAGATCTAGCAGCCGCTCCTTGAAATACTCCATCGGTTGGAATTGGTCCTGAAAACTCGTTGTAGGAAAAGTCCATTTCCTGAAGACTGACCATGCGAGATAATGACGGAGGAATTCTACCTGAGAGGTTGTTATGTGAGAGGTTGAGATCCTCCAATGAGGTAAGCTTGGCCAAGTTTTGTGGGATTGTTCCCGATAGCGAATTGCCACTGAGGTCCAAAAGAATACTCAACCCCATCAAATTTCCAAGTTCAGAGGGAATACCACCTGATAATGAGTTGTTGCCAAGATTCAAGCTCAAAAGTCTCTCGCACTTCCCAACATCTACCGGTATGTTACCACTTAACTTGTTTGTTGACAAGTCAAGATACTGGAGCTTAGTTAAATTTCCAACAGACTGAGGGATGCCTCCTGTAAGATTGTTTTTGCTCAAGCTGAGATTGTAGAGCTGGCCTAACTTTGCCAGTTCAGAAGGAATTTCACCGGTCAATTCATTTCCTTCCAAAGTTAACACGCGCAGCTCCCTCAGATTCCCTAGCTCAGCTGGGATCACACCAGAAATTTTGTTTCCATCCATTCTTAGACTTGTGAGTTTTTCACATTTCCCCCATTCAGGTGAGAGTTCACCTGAAAATTGGTTGTCAATGAGAGAAAGGAAATCAAGATTCGGGTGCACGCCAAATGCCTCTGCAAGATTACCAGATAAGTTGTTGCCTTCAAGCCTTATTCTTTTTAGCTCTGTGCAATTCTTCAAGCAATCTGGTAACTTTCCACTGAATTTGTTGCCATTTATTGTCAACTCCTCAAGAGCAAACTGGCTACATAATCCAGGAGGCAGTTCACCACTGAAGCTGTTATTTGAAAAGCTGACACTGGACAATTGAGGACTTTTTTTTCCAAAATCCTCAGGAACACTGCCCGAGATATTATTACTATATACAAAAAAAAGGTTCAGACTGCTGAGGTCAGAAATGATGTCCGGCAGCTCACCACTAAGTCGGTTGGTATTGATATCAAGGATCTGAAGAGATGTCAATTTCCCAATCTCAGGAGGAATGGTTCCACTGAGAACATTGCGAAAAAGATGCAACGTTGTTAGATTGGTTAAGTTTCCAATGGATGGAGGTATTGTTCCTGAAAGCTGGTTGTCAGAGAAATCTAGCTCCAACAAGTTTTGCAAGTCTCCAATCTCAGAGGGAATGGGACCAGTGAAATTGTTATGAAAGAGGAAAAGATATTTGAGGCTTTTCAACTGACTGATTTCAGATGGAATATTCCCAGTAAAGGAATTGTTTTGAAGCTGCAAAGATGTCAGCTCAGTCCAATTGGTGATGAAATATGTTGAGATCTCACCAGAAAGAATATTAGAAGACAACCCCAAATCAGATAACTTGGTCAGAGAAGAGAAAGATGGAGGCAATGGTCCTTGCAAGAAATTCTCTGCTAAAGCCAAGACGGTGAGGTTAGTACACAGGCCAAGCTCAGAAGGAATGGTTGAATTCAAACGATTCTTTCGAAGGTCTAGTTGTTGAAGATTTGTGAGTCTTCCTATAGAAGATGGAATATTTCCTAGAAATGAATTGTTGAAAAGTACAACAACTTCAAGACTAGTGATCAAACCAATTTCATCAGGAATTAGGCCAGAAAACATGTTAAGACCAATCCGAAGTTCTTTTAACTTGGACAACTTGGTAAAATTTGGTGACAATAAACCTTCAAATGAATTGGATGAAAGATTAAGGTACTCAAGCTTGTCTAAGTTGGTGAATACTGTTTCTGGGATTGAACCATTCAAATGGTTTAAAGATATATCGAGGTAAGTCAGATTATGGCAACGGAGTACAAATTCAGGGAATTCTAACCTCAATTCATTGTAACCAAAGCTCAGATGTGCCAACAGAGGCATATTCCTCAATTTAGACCAATCAGGAGTTTCTAAGTAATTTGATCCAAGATCCAAGTACCTTACCTTCTGAAGATTGCTAATTTGATAGGGAATAACACCATTTAAATTGTTGTTATAAAAACTGAGATATTCAAGTTGTGTTAACTTCCCAATCTCTTCTGGTATGACACCTTCCAAGATATTGTTACTCAGGTCCAAGAAAGTGAGCATAGAGACATTGCCAATATTCGAAGGTATCGATCCACTGAAGTTATTGCCATTGAGATTAAAACGAGTGAGGTTCAGGAATGAAGTAAAATCAAGCTGATCAAGAGAGCCAGAGAGGGTTGCATCAGAAAGATTGATCTCAGAAAGTGTTCCACCAGTATTGCAAACAATAGCTGTCCAATTACACAAGTTTCTGAGATTGGAAATGGACCAAGAATCCAAAAAAGAAATAGGAGATAAGTTACTCTTCCATTTGATTAGAGCTTCAGCTTCAGTTCTTGCTGAAGATGTGATATTTAATGGAAGTGAACAAAGAAGTAGCACATGTAGAATGTAAACAAAGGTACTATGAAATGTTGTCATGTCTAATACTTGGTTTCAAGAAGAATACAACATTTTTGAGCTTTTACTTCAAAAGGGTTGTCATATATAAGTGGACGACAAAAAGGGATAGTAAAATTAGTGGAAAAACAATCATATCCAAATTAAAGATGTAGTTGAAAGGTACAAGGCTTAATGGTCCAATACAAGATGTCACAATAACACGGTTTCAACTCATTAATAAATAATCTTGCCAATATCATATTCCACCTTGACCAATAATATATAAATACAAGTTTTGAGTGTGAACAGTTTAGTGCGAAAAGTGTAGTAAAATAACTTGCTCGAAAACCAATATTATCCCTACGGATGGCCCAGTTGGTTTGGAGGGCGGTCATCCGTACAAATAACCTGGGATCTATCCCTCCTCAATATCTTCTGGGTCGAGTTTGCGCACACGGCTTGCCTAGTGCGATTTACATTTCCAATATGATTTGCAGGCTATTACATAGCAGGGAGTTTACCCAGTAAGCATAAAGTGCTTACCCGAAGGACAGAGACTATGACAAAGACTGTAACAGCTGCTGATTTTCTGGGGTTTAAAAAAAAGGGAAAACCAATATTCAAGTACTAGTTGCAGTTTCTATGTTGACTTTGAAAGTGGAAATGCCCACAAACCTCTCCACCACTAAAGAAAAATGCAAAAGTCAATGCTTATTTTTTGTTTACTTCAACATGGTGTGAAAACTAACAAAAACGTTTATTGAACATTTGTATCTGACTGTCTGGTTTGGTTTTGACTCTATAGACAAAAGGCAGAAATAGTTGAGTACACACAAAACACTATTATACTTTTATTTAAAAAGAACATTTGTATTCAGTGTGTATTATTTGTCTAATAAGTTGACCTGCAGATGCCATGACAAATATGAGTTGTAATAACTGGATTATTGACCTTTCATAGCTCATTCAACAGCCTAAAATTGGAAAAATCTGCGATTGATAATATAACAGGTCTTCTAAAGGAAACCCATGTGCCAGTGGGTCAAAAATGATGGCTTTGTTTTATTTAATGTTATATTAAAATGTGCACCTACTCGTTCTTCCTTCTCTTGGTTTCTCTGAACCATAGGAAACTGTTAATATACTACACAATTTATTGGCTCATTGATAAGGATGTTGACTAACTTCATTCGTAATATAAAGAAAGAAAATGGTACTAGTCTTTAACTAATTAATAGTATATGACTTAGTGAAATAGCATGATAACCCGAATAATTAATTATAGTGTTGTAATAATGAATCCTTGCAAGAAATGTAATATATATTCAGTGGTGCATTCAATATTTAGATTCTTAGGGTTTTGAGCTTTTGTTATTTTTTTATTTTTTAAATACAGAAAAGTTTGGACTCTGATGACATATTTAATTTTATCTTTGCTTATTTCTTTAACACACATACATAGGGGTGTTCGTCGGTCGGTATGATACGGTATTTAGACATTTCAGTTTAATATTTTCGGTATTTAATTTCTTAAAATGTTATACCAATACCATACCTAATTAAATTCGGTATGGTTCGGGTTTTTTTCTTTCGGTTTATTCAGTTTGGTAAATTCGCTTTGTTCAACTCGAATATTAACAGTGCATAAAGTCATAGACTGTAATATTCTTAAGTAAGGTACCCACCACTACGAAAATAAAAATGTTATAATATAGTAAAAACTATGAAAACTAAAAATGTTAAATTTAGATGGGAGAAAGGTTGAAACATAAGTAGGCAACGAAAGAAAATGGGGGAAAGTCAAGTATAATTGGAGAAATAGGGGATTAATGTTAAAGGAAATTATAAAAAATGACGAAAAATAAAATTTAGAACTTTAATATTCATTTTGTAATCAATAATATGTGTATCGTGTAACTTATTATATATTTCGGTACGATATCGATGTTTCAGTATTTCATTTTTAAATACCAAATACCAATTTTTTTAAGTACTTAAACCAAATACCAAATATAATTTTTTTTGATTTCTGTACGGTAATTCGGTGTTTACCAAATTATGCACAACCCTACACATACATGTATGAAATGCCAAAACTAGGGGTGTATATGGACCGGGTTGGTTCGGCTTTTATCAAAACCAAACCAACTATATCGGTTTGGATTGGTTCGGTTTTGTCGGATTTTTCAGGTTTTTTGTTACTTACATATTATTCCATTCTTACTTTGTCAAATATTTGATAAGTAAATATCTATTTAGTAAAAATATAAAAAAAAATTGACAAACATATTATCGATTAAAATATTCTTATGGGAAAATTCTATTAGTAACGCATAATAGTTATTTTTTTAGTCGTGTGACAATAATTTTTCGTTGATATACACTTTCAGGTTAACCAAATTTAGTAATTAAACATAAAATTCAATATGATACCTAAATATAATAACCACTTCACATTCGAAAAAGATATAAAAATTTAATAGATCTTAATATATGATATGAATATGGAAGAACAAATAGATAGACGCATTTCAATAATATCTGATAAGAGAGTAATCATACAACCCATTATTTAAGGTCAATAAATATGGAGCACTTCATATTCTATTAAAATTTATATCCTGCAAGAGAATCCCAAATATTTCTAGACATTTTTTAAAGAAAATTTTACATAAAGTCTTAAAATATATATATAAATTAGTTTGGGTGTTTTTACTCAATACCAAACCAAACCAAATCAGATTTTTTAATCGATTTGATTTGACTTTTCGGCTTGGTTCGATTTTTCGATTCGGTTAACTATGAATTTTGCCGAAACACTGGATACATAGGCATGTGTCTAAATCAGTGTCACAGTGAAATAGTAACAAAAACTTTAAACATCACGATGAGAGTTTTTTCAAGAAAAAATCATTTCTCTCAATCTCATTATCGGTTTAATCAAATAAAAAAAGGTCAATCGTTATTGATTGTTATCCAACTTACATTTGGCTAAAACCACTAAATTTATAAAATAATTATATTGGTTGGTTTTTGGTGCTCAGACAAGCAAATCTGCTGCCATTTTGATCGTCGCAGTTGAGAATGATTTTGTGCCCCTAATTAAAGCATATCTTTTTCGTAAACCTGGTTTGATTTGATGTGATGCATCCTCCATACGACATTAGTGTCCGAAAAAAAAATTACTCAAACTAATTTTTTATACCAGACAAATAAATACATAAATGTGTCTTTGTATATAAATTATTTTCATATAATCATAATTAAGTGATACTATATTTCTTTACTTTAATTTGTGACCTTATAGTTAAATTGTTTAATTGGTGTAAAATACTAAAGGATATTTCCCTGATGATTAGCACTTCAGATTACAATTTCCCAGATGATATTTGAAATGAGTCAAAATTTAATAGAGAAATTAGTTCATGAACTACTGTAACTGAGTAGAAACATGATCAAATACTAGCTAACAATAAACACACAACACATATATTATAATATAAAAGTCCAAAAAAATAAATAAAAAATCAATTGCATGCTCTTTATAAATTTAAGACATGGCAATATAATAAATTTGAAGAAGATTAGAGGTAATTTGAAGTTTTAACTCCATTGATGTTTGCTTAAGCTTGAGTTAGAAATTCGGGTTATCAAAGTTAGAATTTGTTTCGAGTGGGTGTTGTTGAAATATATTGGGTACATCTCAATGAGTTTGACTCTCAGATTGAGACGATTTTTGCGGAGATCTATGGTGGTTTGAATTGAAATTTGAGCCAAATTTGAAGTTGAAGATCAATATGGAAGAAGATGGTATGTGATCCCATATGTATTTTGTATCAATGTTTATCCACTGTATATTCATGTATACTTGTGTGGGAGATACATATGAGATATATGTAAGATACATTTGGCATAGAGAAAATTATAAACCCAATTTCAACTACAAATTTTGATTCTAAATCGGTCCAAATCACCTTAAATTTTGTATATTGCTGCATCTATGTCTTTTCAACGAATTCCTATCATACAAAAAATATCCTTTTTGCCTATGTTTTTTGAGTATTATATATCAGCGATAATGAATTTTGATTCCAAACCAGTCCAAATTACCTTTATTTTTTCTCAAAATTCTGTATATCTTCTCATCCATGTGTTTTCTAACCATATCTATTGAAAAAAATCCTCTTTTGCCTAGGTTTTTAAATGTTGAATATCTTTGATAGCTTTTTTGACTATTTTGTATAGCATGACTTAATGGAAAATTATTTATAAGTAATATCGATTTGTTGCTATTTCGTTAATTTTCTCTTACTAGTTTTCAGTTGTTGGCCCCAAACCCCGTAGATAATTGATTTTAGGGTGAAAATAGTACGAGTTAACCAGTTTTTGGATTGGTAAGTAAAAAAATAGTCTGCGTTTGCAAAGTCATTGAAAAATAGTCACTATTTTGCTGCAACACGGAAAGTTCCAGCATAATATACTGGAGATTGGTGCACCTGTGTATGAACTTCCAGCATATTATGCTAGAACTCCAACACACAAAAAGTTTCAGCATAATATACTGGAGATTGGTGCACCTGTGTATGAACTTCCAGCATATTATGCTAGAACTCCAACACACAAAAAGTTTCAGCATAATATACTGGAGATTGGTGCACCTGTGTATGAACTTCCAGCATATTATGCTAGAACTCCAACACACAAAAAGTTTCAGCATAATATACTGGAGATTGGAGCACATGTTTATGGACTTCCAGCATATTATGCTGGACCAGTATATTAGGCTGGAAGTCCAGTATATTATACTGGAACTCCAGTATATTATACTGGAACTCCAGTATATTATGTTGGAATATTTTTCGGATTTTGAACAGTATTTTCGTTCAGATTTATCTTTACATGAAAAGTGTTAGAAAACTTACAGAAGATTAAAAGAGAAGTATAGCTTTGAGGCTTGAAATATCACTATCTTTCAAAAGATATTGCCCGTATATTCTTTAGGGTATTACAAGCAATTCTCCGTCAGGATACAACAAAGCCAGAATTACACTTGCAAAAAAATTGAATATCGCTGCTCTTGGA